AGGAAATGTTTACAGCAACATCTACGGGGGGGGGGAGGGGCAGGGAACACCCTGTAAAGTTTCTTTGCTGGTACCCTGAAAATTATTTGGCTAAGGGGAATAGAAACATAGAAAATTATTTTCATGTCTCACCCAGAATTAAACCTGATGCACTTCTCTTACTAACTGTGATGTGAGCTGGTATAACAACAGTAAGAAATTCAGGCAAAAGTGGTGTCACATAAATTAGCAGCGTTATCCAATCAAAAAAAAAACCCAAAGGACCAGGGCTGAGGTATAGGAAGAAGGGCAATAAAATCCACTGTTGAAGTACGACAGCAAAACGAATTATGTACATGATGAGTGAGTGAGTGGGATCCTGCAGGCTGTTACTCTGTGTGCGTGTGCGCGCGGGCGTGCGTGTGTATGCGTGCGTGCATGCATGCGCGTGCGTGCATGTTTTCCAAACGCTGGTCTTCAATTCACAGTGACTTCCAGCAAAATTTAAAATGAGCGTCGATGCCCTGAATTGAAAAGATGTTCTCAGTTGCAAAGTGACCATTGTGATGACCTGATAAAACACGCCTGCAGCTAGAAAGCCATCTTCCAGCTTGAGTGCATTGCCACGCTGTGCACCTATGGCTTCGTACCTGCCACTAACACCCACTGACTGGTTTTTCTTGTAGCTGTTCTCCTCCCTAAGCAAATCCTTTGGGTAATCAAGCGTGTAACCGCTTTTGTCCGTTAGGTTTGGCAGGCAGGAGCTCCACACCCTCCTCGGCGAGTCCTCCCAATACTTTTAGCACTTTAAGTATTAATCCGTCTCTACAAGACAAGATGCGGGAGTTCTGGCTACTCACAGTTTCATGTCTTCTGCCCTGCTGTTTAACAGATCCGCACTTTTCTGTGGCTGCTGGAAGTGCTGCTGTGCACCAGCGAGCACTGAACTGACTACATTAAAATGCTGATCAACAAGATGCTCTTACAGCCTGCCTGCCGGGCCTCTGGCCCAGGCTGCCACGCTTCTCTCCGGGCTGAGCCTCACCACTCAGGCGAATGAGGAAGGCCTCCTCTCCTTAGCTAGTGCTGTCCTTCCCTTCGCTTGTGCCCAGCACAGCTGCTGCGACCAACATCATCCTCTCCTCTTCACCGCTTGGCTTTCACGGCAGCTGCATTTCAGGCAGGTCTTGCAGGTTGCAGGGCTGACCCTGTGCGTGGCGGGCTTGTTGCTGAGGATGGAGGAAGTACCCCATGCTGGTCTGCTGGGGGAGGTGAGATGACTGGAAGATGCGCTGACTCTGACTCCCCTGGACTGATTCGGGAGTCTGCATCTGCAGAAAGAAAGCGTGACACTACCCCTCAGACCTGCTTCCAGCCTAGCCTCTTTTCTGCAGTAGAAAGGGCAGCTGGAAGATATTATCAAAGAACTGCATGGTGTACAGCCTATGCGCAGCGCACAACCACCCGGTACCTTCAGGGCCCCCTAGAGTATCTGGACGCTGAGTTAGGATGCCAGAGGCATCTGCACATCCTGATGTACAGCTAGCTCAGGGCTCAAGCTGTGTGCGCGAACGTGGGGCAAGTCCTGTCCCCATAAAGAAGCATAGAAGGCTACAGCCAATTTCCATGGCTATGGGCAGCTCCTGGAGCATCCACAGCAGTCACTTGTAACCACCTTCTTCTCTGGAGCAACTGCCAAACCCCCAACCCCAAATGCAGGCAGGCACAACCAGGTGAACCCATGGATTTGCCCATCCATGCCATCTGGCCTAGGCAGGATTGCCAGGCCTCATCCAGTTCACTCCACTGCACTGACGTTCTCCATGGAGACAGCTCCCCACCTTGCTAGGACATGCCCCACGTCTCTGAACGGCTCTGAGATAAAACGTGGTCAAGCGAGTCTCAAAAGCGCTGTTGTTCCAGACCGCTGCTGTCTCACTGTGCGGCTGGACAAGTCATTTGACCTCTTATCATCTCTTATGCCTGTCTTATATGTGTTGTCACTGATAATTTAGCGGTGATTCACTGCCTCTGCAGCTATATACATGTGCATGCACTGCCAGTGTCTTAGGGTCAAGCTACATGTTGCACTTAGACCATGCTAAGTCTGGGGACTGTTAAGCAGCATTAAAATTAAAACATGCGGTGGGCTGTTGCATATTAAGGGTGCTGCCTGCACAGCGGTGACGTGCCATGTGGGGACGGGCTAGGAGCCACAACCCTTGAGATCTATCCCTGCTTGGAGGGTGGATGGTGCATCTTGGGATGCTGGAGGAATGCAAATTGCTCGTTCTATCTCCACAGAGCAAACTGAAGTTGCCCTAGCAAGGCCCAGAGTTAAACCTTGCCTGAAGTGGCATAACTTTGCTATGCTCAGAGGGCCCTTAGCACAAGTTAATGAGCTTTAATGTGAGGCTGCTTGTGTTTTAAGCACCCTTAGTCTGGTCTAAGTGTAACTTCGCCCTTAGGAACATGACGCATAGGACTAAACTGGGTCTCTTGGGTTATCGAGTCTTGCCCTGGCTACCACAGCCAGCCATATCATAGCATCCCTTTCATAAACTGATCAAGTTTCTTACTCGACTCTTAGTGATGATAGTATTTAATTACTTTCTTTTAATCCAGGCCTGCAGTTTAATTAGCTCGAGCTGGATCAGATCTCTGCCTGTTGCTTTACTACATACCAGCTTGGCCAGAGCAACCATTAAATATACCTCAGCCCACCCCGAGTCCCTCACAGAATGGAAACTATTTTAAATTATTAATTCCCTTCAGCCATTCCTTTTATCAGCTGGGTCATCTGTGGGCATGAACCTATGAAGTTGTTCTTGAAAAGCTGCTTCCTCAAGAGCCTTTCATTCTGAAATGATTAATAATTTGTACAAAGAAGGGAATGAAGAAGGTACAGAAAATGCTCCATGCTGGGTGACTTCAGAGGGCTGCGGAGCAAGCCCAGCCCTCCAAAATCAGGAGCTTCCTCGTGCTGCTTGTTTCTTGCCACATCTCCAAGAGAGCTCACCTCACTAGAGGAGCTCAGGTTGAAACCCTGGCCACTTATTTTAGTGTCTAAAAGGGACTTGCGTTCCTTGGAAAAATACAGTGCCAGCTTTGGGTGTCAACCAGTTTTGAAAACAATAATCTTATGGGTGATTGGATAGTCACAGGTATATACCGAATAGACCATGGTACAGGTAAAACGGAGATGGAGGAGGTCATGCGACAGAGGTTACATTGGATTTGGGCCACATCCATTCCTCCTAAGCTGTCTGCTCAGTGTTTATGAAACCCTCTCTTACCTGCAGGTAGAGCTGATGCTGTTGAACTTGCTGCTGTGGCCACTGGGGGAGGTGAATGGGGGGATGCGTCTGGTGGGAGGTGAAGTTCGTATGCGGGATCATCACGGAAGGGGAAAATGCAGGCGAAGGGGCAGGAGCTCTGACTGTGCTACACGTAATTGGTGGCATTTGTAACTGGGGAGGCAGCATCTGCTGTTCAGGAACAAATCTGCAAAGAGGAGGAAAAACACACATCAGTAACCAAGGACTTAGGGGGGGATTATGTGCTGGGGGCTGGGGGTGTTAAAAGAGAATAAACCAGAAGATAGTTTGTTAAAACACATGCAGGCTAGCATAACCAGAGGGCAAACCTCCCCTGGGCTGTATCCATAAGAGCGGGCAGAGGGAGGAGCTCCATAGGGGAAGTCCTTGGGGGAGGGCAGGAGCAGCTCACATGGGGAAAGCAGACTTCATTGCACAGTTGTATCACATATAGAAACCAGGGTCATGTGACTGGTGCAGCTTAAATGCCAGGCAGATAACTGGAACACACATAAGCTCTTTGGAGCAGGAGCGACTTCTCTGTAGGTGCATCTACACGTGCATATTTACTGCGCAGTATGGGCAGCCAAAAAATACTGCACAGTACGGGCATGCACACCTGTACTGCACAGTAACTACGGTGACTTACACCAACTTGGGCATAAAGTTGATACCTGAATTATGCAGGTATCAAATTTATGCCTGATTAATTACTGCGCAGTAATGCACATGTAGACACCTTACTGCACA